ACGTGTCTCGCTGAAGCACCCAAGGATATTAGAGAGCATGAATGTTATATTGTAGTGCAATGGAAAAGAAATCAATGTGATAAAACATGTTGACCAGGTCCAGGCTTGCACACGGCCTTTGAGCCCTCTGATGTGCTCAATGTGCTCAATGATGTGCTGATGTTTGTAGGCACTCATCTGAGCACCACATCCAGGAGCACAGGTTGCACCTCGCCCTGGTGGCCTGACTTTTGCAGGCTTTGTTTGATGTGAGCCCGGCTCAGGAACAGCTGGAAGGAATTCAGGGACAGTGGCAAAAAGGTAAGGCAGCTCCGACACGGCAGAGATGAGAAATTTTGCACTTTGTCATAGGCTAATGGAAACAATAGCAGGAATGAAAGCTGACTGGTTGCTTTTAAAAAGCAGAGAGAATAAAATGATGCATGAAACGGCAAGAAGTATCCTCGACTGAATGACCAGTACGTGTGTCATTTGAGCTCGGTGTCTTTGTCATCACAGTCAGTTAGGTTGCCTCCTGTTATGAAGAGCCAGTGCAACTCTGTGTGCTGCTCTGGTGGCTATTTTTTTGGCAGATAGAGGTGCTCAGTTGGGAAAATAGGATGGTGAGGCACTGGCACAGGTTGCCCAAGGAGGCTGTGGATGCCCCATTCCTGGAGGCATTCAAGGCCAGGCTGGACGTGGCTCTGGGCAGCCTGGTCTGCTGGTTGGTGACCCTGCACATAGCAGGGGGTTGGAAGTGGATGAGCATTGTGGTCCTTTTCAACCCAGGCCATTCTATGATTCCATGAAAATGCTCTTCTCAAGCATTTTGCTCAATTCAGTGCGGTTCAGACATGTCCATCAGCATGGAGGCCCAGGCCCATGGCATCCTAGGGGGCTCTGGTATTTTAATGGCCACTTGTATTCAACCCATGCATTTGCCAGCACAGCTTGCCTACTGTAACCAGTGTGCTCGTGTCATCATTTACTGCTCCTCCAATATTTGTGTCAACTGTGATCTTTTCTGGCAGCAAGCTCCTGTTTTGCCTTCCAGACAGCAGAGAGAAATCTCCCAACACTGCAGAAATCTCAGCACTGGGCTGAGCACAGAGATCCTGCAGCAGTGGAGGCTCCTCTGCTTGGGAAGAGCCAGGATTTCTAGTCAGGTCCCCCAGTTCTTCCACCTCCTTGTTGGTAGCAGTGATGAGAGGGCAAGAGATCTTTCTGCCATTGTTGTGAAAGCCATTGTATGCTGTTGATATATTTAAATCAGGACACCCCATTTCACTCTGTGTCCCCCTGCGGATCCCCACCCAGTGGACTGGGCTGGATGTGGCACACTCAACAGCACCTCTTCAATGCAACTTGACTTTTATTGCTGGTGCCGAGGCCATCTACAAACACAGATTTAGCATCAGCCTCCAGGCTTAAGATACAGCTGTTGTATTTTTTTTTTCTTTGTTCCTTTTTTTTTTTTTCCCCCTTCTCTCCTTTGCACTAATGCAATGCTTATTTAGGAACCGCAGCCATCTGTGTCTGCTATGGATGGCACTGTTAAATTTGCTATTGCTTTCTTTCCCCTGGTTTGATGAGACTCTCAGTGCATAGAAAATTTCCCAGAACGGCGGAGGCTTTCTTTGATTGCTTTTTTGATTCTCTCCAAAAGAGATTGTTCACAGTGCTCTTTCTGTCCTGGAAAAAAAAAGGTCAGCAGCGGGAGAGCTGAGGATCCTGCCTTACATTGGGTTAATGAGGTGAATTTATGAAGAGTTGGCCAGACAAGAAGGTTGGTGATATTAGATTAGAGGTGGTGGTTTTATCTGCGAATAAAAAGGGAGGGGAGGAAGAAGGGCTGGGACCGGCGTCCTTCCTGTTCCTCCGAGCAGCTTGTGGCTGATGGTGAGACAGCTCGCATGGGAATTGGGATGGCTGCTGTACTCCAGGGAATTTTCAGTGTTTTTCAAGTGGAAAAATTCTGCCTCGACAGATGGACGGGGCCCTATCCCAAGTTTACAATCTGGCGATCAACGCGCGCAGCGGGAGGCTCAGGCACAGCTCCGTTCCAGCCAGGCAGAGCAATGATGGGTGTGTGGTTTCGCCATCAGGCACTTGGCTATTTTTGTCAGGCGAGGCAGAAAGCTGATTTCTTCCTGTTTTGTCGCTGAGTTACTTGCAAATGGCTTGTGTGCACCATTGTGAGGGGAGGTGCATCTTAAAAATATCTACGGAGAGGAGGAAAAACGTCTCTCATTTAGGTGAAGCGCTGTAAAGAACGCTGCTCTGGACAGAGCCACCTGTCCTACGAGCTGTTTGCATTTTAAGACCCTTCTCTTTGATTTTGTTTAGCTTTTTTTTCAGTCAGCTATTCCTTTAAACCCTCCTCCACGCAACCACAGCTCCACTTTGCAGCCCAGGCCCTCTGCTTTGCTAGCAGCCCCCTCATGGAAGGCTAGTAACAAGTTTATCTAAAAATACCATCTTGTGGGGAATCGTAGTGCCCAGGCATCCATCGCTGGCATCAGGTGCTGCATTTTGGTTTGTAGCAGCTGAAGAGCTGCGACTTTTCTGACCATAAACCCTTTGGATGACTGAGTTTGAGTACCAGGTTCATTCCTTGACCCCTGTTCATGCTCCTCCTCCAAAGCAGGCTGTCTGTACGCAAGCTGTCTGTGTGAAAGGGCCTCGCCACCCCCCCATGGAGTACAAGGAGTTGTTTGAAATGGTGATAATTAACCCAGTTCAAAACCACAACAGGGACTGTTGCAGTAAGATGGTGGTGTAGGTGGAGAAGTTCCAGATGTCAGGACTATTGGTTTACTTCTATAGGGTTCTCCAAGTCACAGACTCACTGGAAGCTTGTCAGCTGCTCCCCAGCTTCTTCTCATGGCTCTCCATCCTTCAAGAGCACGTGATGCTCTCCTAGGGCTACCAACATGCATCCTCAGAACTATTCCCTGGGATTCACTGCCAGGATGCCATGGAGCCCAAGGCACGTTCAGCTCCTGCACTGGCAATGTGGCTGTGTACCTGCGGTGCTGAAGGTGTGTGCAAACATCACTAACACTCAAGAGCTTTGCAATATGGTTTTGCAGCTGTCAGCGTGATGAATGGATGTTATGTTGTATTTCCTGCTTTATCAAATACTAATTATGTATATGATAATTTTAAGCATCGCGGTTACTTTTGGCTCATTTGTTTTTCAGTTTCCAGAGACATAATATTTCAACACCCCCACTCCTGTTCTTGAAATTCTGCTTTGATTGCTTCTCTTCGGCTTTTGCTTAAGGTTCCCTGCTCTGATGGGTCAGCGTATTGATCCTGCACTTTGATAAGGTCAGAGGAGATCAGCTGTGACATTTCAGAGTGATTTGCTCCTCCCCTAATGGGCTTAGTCATCAAAGAGTTTTTTCAGGGGACAGGGCAAGGGAGAGCTTGGATGTAGACTCTTACATATGTTTATTTAGGCAGACTTGCAAGGCTCTGAACGGTGATATCAGATGAGAGACCAGAGCATCTGCTGTGCAGGTTAAGAACTCTGCACTTATGTCAACCACAATAACAGAACTTTACTGAGCCTCCATGTTGATGACCCTTGTTAGAGCAGATGCTGCCCAGGCAGCTGACCGGGTGAGATAGCACCAACAGAGCCCTAAGGGTGGCCTCATGCTGCAGAATAAAAGGTGACCCACTGCCCACATCTGGTACAGCTGCCTCCAGTGTGGTGCCTCCAGGAGCAGCTGATCCCTGGTGATTCAGAGGAAGGTGAGAAAATGAAATAGCTAGCAACGTCTGTCCGGCCAAATGAGCCTGCAGGAGGAAAATAAGTAAGTGAATTCCTTCCTTGTGGCTGCAGGCAACCAGCTGAGTTCTTGGAGAATGAGGTTTGACTGTAGCTCCCAGCCTAATGAGGAGCTTCAGGGCTCAGCAGCAGATAATGCAGAATTTCCTGTTCTTGTCATGGCTGGAGGAAGAAGGAAGCAAGCTGGGGCATGCACTGGTTCCCAGGCCAGAGGTGTGCCCTGCACCATCCAGCCCCACTCCCTCCAACCCTGGGGCTTGGACTTTCTCCCAGGAGCTGGATTAAAGCCTAGCTGTTCAAAAGTTATCTGCTGCTGCTATGCTAATGATGTCAAACGATGAGGGCCCACACCCTTGCAAGGTCTTCCAGTGTTAGGTGTCCCTCCCTGCTGGGAAATGGCACTATATTTTGGGATTTATCTGACCTGAACTTCCAGGCATTGAATCTCACCATGACTTTGTCAAAAGCTTGGGAAATCCTCTGCAACCTAGGAAATTTCCATGTTTAAGATGCCTAGGCATCTTGTGATCTTCCGAGCATCTCTTCAATAAGCTGAACAAACTGAGCTCAGTTGTTAGGTTTTCCACCTTGCAGCCATTTGTGTGGCCTCCAGTTGGATGCTCCCTGGTATCTCCTTTCCTTCTGAGGACACCAATGGCTGGGCACAGGCTGTGGGAGAGCAGACATCAGGTAAAGCTGGCTGCTTGTATGTGGTTTGTCCTTCAGCATCATCACCTGCTCAACCAGTTCCCAGTCAGTCAGTGCCATTGTGGGGTCATGCAACCACCACTGAGCCCACACCTACAGCAATCTAAGTTAATCTGGTTTGGCAAGGCACTCTTTCCCATAGCCCTACAGCTCTTGTGAAAGGAGATGTGCTGATGTCCCCTACGTCTGAGTGGCTCATGAGGTTGCTGAAGGAGGGACAGTTGTTTTTCTGCCTAAGACATCCTGCATTTCTTGGAAGTGCTCTGCAAATGCAGAGCTATGCTGTGACCTTGTTAAAGTCCAGAGTGTTGTATTTTTTTCACAAGGAGTCAGGTAAATGAGGGTGAAAGAGGGAGTAAAGAGGAGCAAAATGGAGGGTGAAGAGGGAGCAGATGCAAATGGCAAGAGAAAACTCAGATGAATATTCACTTATTCCACAGAAAACATCTTTAGTCCTCATGGAGCTGAAGCTTTCTGAAGTAATCTCTCCCATTGTAAGAGGCTGTAATTTGCATTCTTTGTTCCCAGAGGCGTTCTCTTGCATTTGGTTGCATCAGAACTTATTTCTTCATGCAGCAGTCATGTAAGTAGGCAGCGTAGTCTGGGGATGACCAGCTTGTGGCTGAGGGCCCACGTACTGTTGAACAAAACTGCCTCAGCATCACATCATCTGCTTCATCCAGGTATGGATCCCTGCTTGGTTGCAGATTAAGGGGCCGTCAATTGCAGGTGGATTTTTTGCATTGGCACTTTGTGGGTCAGGGGGGTTTAAATGTATAGGCCATGAGTCCTGGCTGTTGTATCTGCTGATCTCATTGACCCTCCTCTGTAACCTGCTGTGTCCTCATTACATGACCTCGCTTTCTGCTGCCTGTAAAAGTTCCCAGCCAAGAGCATCAGCAAATGGTGGGTAAGGTGCCAAATGGTGTGGGCAGAGAGCAGAGTAGAGCATTGATCTCAACTGTCTGGAGATCCCTGTTGATCCAAGAGCAAAAATTTTTTGTTGGTGGTTTTGGGCTCTGAAGTCAGGCCAACAAGTTTTTGGGATATCCCAGGCAATGGCAGGGCAATTCAATCAGGCTGTCTTATCAGATTTTCTTTCTCTCCTATCTTTCCCCTTTCTTCACTGTCAGGAGAAAAAATCCTGGCTATAAGGGTTGGTTATGTGTTGGTCAGCTGCAGCTTTTAGCACAGTAAGCAGATAACAAACTATGAGATAGCTTAAAAATCCAGCTGCATGTATGTCCAGTGACACATCTGGCCTCCAGGTCCTTCCCAGCTCACGTCCTGCACGCTCTTGTGCCTTTCCAGCATGGAACTTAAGCTCAGACTCCCCCAGGAAGGGAAGGACGTGCATCCTGCCTGTCCTGTGCATACAGTGTTCCTCTCCGTGGACTCTTTCCAAGGTGTTGGTCTCCAGAATGCTCCTGGCTCTGCTCTTCTTGGAAGCAGTGTTGAGACATCTGTCAGTGTGAGCCCGCAGAGGGAAGCTGACGTAGGTCACTTCGTAGTCACTTCAGCTAGCTTTTTCTCAAGTGGATCTGAATTATCTCAAGGAGAAAGATAGGGTTGGGTGTTCTGGATGTGATCCCAGTCCTATTTCTGCAACTGTGGCATCTCTCAGTTAGGAGAGGGTAGTGTGAGAGTGGGGTGAGGCAGCAAGTCCCCTGCAAGCTGGGTTGCCATCAGATCATGCAGACGGGTCAGGTTTTGTGCCATGATCAGTTTAATGCTTTGCAAACACCAGTTCCAGACAAGAAGCAATAGCTCCAATAATGTTTAAACGAGCTTAAAATCTGGAGATGAGATCTGTAGGCCTTGTGCAAGGAGCAGGACGGTGGAGCACTCGGAAGTGGATTTAAGACATGAAGCTGCTTTGTTCTGGTCTGTGTTGAAACAAGCTGTTCAGGAAGGTAGTGGAGTCACTGCCCTTGGAGGTGCTCAAGAACCGTGGAGACCACGGTCAGTGGGAATGGTGGGATGGGCTGGGGTTGGGGATCTTAGAGGTCTTTTCCAACCTTAATGATTCTGTGATTCCATGATAGTGAGGTAAAGCAGTCACAGGGCTCCCGTGATTCAGAATTTGTCTGAGGTTTCTCACTGTCCCCATGCTGAAGGGTAACGCACGTGCTGGGATGGTTGGAGCCTGCCTGAGAGTCTCCCTATGTGCCATGGTGTGGTGTGAGCTGCATTGGCAGAGGAGATGCAGTGGGCAAGCAACAAAGTGCAGGATGGATCCTCAAGTGCCCTGGGACACTGGCTTGCCAAACTTCTGTGTCAGTGGTGCTGTCGACAACTTCCTGCCAAGAAGCATCAGCAGAGCAGGCGTGCAGCTGAGATTTCCCTTTTCCCCCTTCTTTTCCTTTCATTCTATTGGTCCTGTTAAACTCTCTTCACTGCACTCACCCTAATGGTGCCTCATTTGGTTTATGTCCTTCAAACTCTTCCCTTTAAACACTTAGTCATCACTTAGCTAAACTACTATATACAAATATAGCTCTTTTGATCTTCCTACGTAAATCAATACCTCCTGCCCTTTAATCTTCATAGTGGCTTTCTCTGAACTCCCTCCAATTTACTATCCATCTTTGAAAGTGAGTTGTCTTTTGGGCTTGATTCTCTACTATTTCAAACCTCCTGAAGTCCCAATAGCTGCCCACAGCAGGTGCATACAGTGGCTTCACTCTGTTCATGCTGAAGAAATGCAAACACTTGCATACAAAGCATCTTGTGCCCCCTTAGGCTGATGTGGCTCCCCATGCCAGAACTAAGTGCTTATGCAGCACAAGCCCATGTTCCCAATGTAGGTCTCACAGGATGCTAAAAGCCATGGCGCAAGCCATTGGGTGTCATTTGGGATTGAAGGAGAGTTATAATGGTTGAGTTATCTCTGGAGGTCCCGTCCAACCCCTACAATTCTGTGATTCTGTGATTATGGAGAGGAGTTTCTGCTCCACAGTAATTGATGGCTGTGGAGATGGATCTCATCTTTTCCATAACAGTAGAGCCTGTAGGTGCAAACAAGCAAACCCAAGATAAAGATTTGTCCCCTCTGAGTAGGTAATGTTTGTATCCCTTCCTGCACAGGGTGGCTCACCTTGCCTGGCTGCAGGTGGGACCTCCTGATGGAGCTAGACCATGGGCTCAGCAGGAAACCAGACCTTCTTCTCCCTATCCTTGCCTTGACAGTTACCTCCAGCTTTCTCCTGGGACCATTCCACTTTTGAACTGGGAATGCTGGGAAAGTCATTTCATAGAATCACAGAATCACCAAGATTGGAAAAGAACTCCAAAATCATGCAGTCCAACTGTCCTCGTACAGCCAGTATTTCCCCACTAAACCGTGTCCCTTTGTACAGCAACCAAACATTTCTTCAACACCTCCAGGGATGGTGACTCAACCAACTTCCCAGGCAGCCCATTTAAAACCATTGCAGTAAATGTCTTTTTTTCCCCTTCATCTTTCAAAGGGAAATATATTATAATAGCAATAACCCCTTCTTTTAGCAATAACCCCTTCTTTTAGCATTTCATTATGGGTCAAATAAAAGCAGATCAGAGCATGAGACAGAGAATCTCACCACTCTGCTTGCCCCCAAAGGATAAACATAGTAGTGCTGCTACGGGCCCTATAGCTTAATTAGTTGCTATTCTCTGCTGTTCTTAAAAAGGATGAAAAAAAACCTTTGCAAAGCCTAAGCAGGCTGTCTGTGTCATATTTCCTGTGTTCTTAGAGGTGTTAATGAATTCATTAATCACTTAATGGCAAGGAGGGTCTTTGGGGACCAGCACTGCAATTTACTGCTCCCAGGAGGCAGACTCTGTCACTGATCTAAAGTTTCAGCTCTGCTAATTTGTGCCAGCAGAGCCACTGAGCTTCTGCCTGCAGCCTGCAAGCATTGTGGCTACTGGGAGCATCACAGCAGCATGCAAAGCATCAGGGTATGCTCACTTGGGAGGCTTTTGCAACGAGTAATGGAAAGGAGGAAAAGAGGTGTTCCCCCAGCCTTGCAGTTGTGTTGCCTTAATTCTTTTAGTTGGGATAAGCTTGCTGTGAAGCCAGTCCTTGCAATTGACTGGGGAGTGCAGCAGGAGCCTTGCTGACTTACAGGAAATGCAAGCTATGGAAGCGTGGCTGTATAATCTGGTCTGGGACTGCAGGCTATGCAATGAAAGGAGTCTGTGAATCTCTTCTAATTGAAGAGTGTCAGGCTGATGTATTTTGACTGAAACTGTCAGTTAAAATGTGAATTTGAATGTTTGCATTTCTGCTCTGCAGAAAATGTTGATTATTTCAGTCTCTCGCCCTTGATGCAGGAGAGTAGCTGGTGCCAAAGTTCCCTGCAAAATGGCTCCTTTGGCTTCTTTCTAATCACAGGGCAGTCCAAGGAGAGGAGGACATGAGCAGAGCCCTCCTCTCCGCTAATTCCATTCCACCAGCCTGTCATCACTTTGCAATTGCACCTTTTAAAAGATTTTTCTCCTTTGCTTTTCTGTGGCTGAGTTCCCTTTTCTAACTTCTGTCCATCTTTCTCCTCAGTCTGTTGCTTTCCCTGACTGGGAATCAGGGAGGGCAGAGTACATCAGATGTGAGCAGGAGGGAGGGCAGAGTCCATGGATCATGGCTGTCTGTATGCACATACTTGACTTCCACTGCTGGTACCCCCTCTTGGAGTCATTCCCACACTCGTGTTCTTTGCTCAAAAGTTACTGCAGGGAGGAGAGAGCTGGAAGGCAGGACAGAAGCTGCATGTTGGATCGAGGGAGAGAAGGCAGGAATACAAAACCACTTCATCGTGGAAAACACAAAGGGAAACAATTTCAATAAATGTCAGATGGTCAAAATTAACCAGAGACGTGTAGAGCCCTACATGTCCAACTGTTTGCTTTGGCAGAGATTCTTTAGCTTTTCGAACAAGAGTCTCCCAGGCACCCTTTTCTTCTCCTTGGCTTTCCTCTTCCCCTTTGCTCATCCTTTGGACTCCTCTTCTCACTCCACCCTTCTTCTCCTCTGGGTCTTTTTCCTGCCTCTCCTCTCTCACTGCTGCCCAGGAGTCACGTTGCACCTCAAGTGCCTGCTTGCGTTACGGTGAGGGGAGACCACCGCAAAGAAATGTCCTTGTGCAACATCAGACTTGGAGGGCATGCAAGGCGGTGGCTGCAGCTGTCAAGGACCACTGCCAGCACAGCCCTGTAGAAATGCTGGAGCGCTACAACCCTGTGCTTGTTGTTGCTGTGGGTATCAATTTCTTCCTCCCCTCCCCAAGGGCCTTGAGTCAGCTTTGACTTTTTTGTTTCAGCCAGGAATCCAGAAGGAGCTCTTGCAGTTCAGTAAGCAGAGGAGCATGCATGTGTGGCTTAACATGATGGAGCAGTGGGATGCAGCCTTGTTGGGGCAGTGGGACACAGCCTTGTTGGGACAATGGGTTGTGGCCTTGCAGGGGCAGTGGGACATGGCCTTGTTGGGGTCAAGGGCCATGGCTTTGCAAGGGCAATGGGATGCAGTCTTGCTGGGCAGTGGGACATGGCATTGGTGGTGCAGAAGGATGCTGTCTTGTTGGGGCAGAGGGACACAACGTTCTTGAATCCAAGCCAAATGCATGACATGTTCCTCCAAACAATGCAATCAAGAGGGCCCTTGTATGGCACAGACGGAGAGCTCCAGCTAACGACGGGCTCTTTTGTGTGCGTGTGCTCTCTGCATTTGAAACATTTATTATTCTAAATTGCCTTCTGCACATTTTACAATAATTACGACTAGTGTTTGCCTTGTTATCTCCACAGTTACTAACAAGAATGCCATCATTATTCCAGTCATTAGCAAAATGGATGTTGTTGTCCGGAGTTGCCGGCTGTGGGCCCGCTTTCAGAAGGAGCCTCATGCTCTCCAACCTTGCCTACTCTATCTTTCTTCCAGGGGAATATTGTTGTTCTCAGTAGGTTTGAACCTGAGGGGGCGGAGGGGAAGCAGAGATTTCATGAAGAAGAATTGCTTTGAGAGAACGCTGGTGGGTGTCAAGATTCACAGCGGTGAGCACTGGGGAGCTCTTAATGGCAGCATCAGTAGGAACGAGAGTAAAGGCAGCCATTTCTCTGTGTTCCTTCTGTGTTTGGTGTATCTTAGGTCTGCTCGTGGCGCTAGGATCCAGTAACTCTTCCTGTAAGAATGTGTTGCTTGGATGTGTAGAGATGCTATCGATCTGACAATGGAGGTTGCAGATGAAGGAGAAAAGGTTGGAATTAAGCCGACAGCACTCAGCTGCTGTAAGGTGAGTCCAGCAATCTGCAATTCCACTGCCTGCTCAAGAGAGCTCCTGGCACCTCTCCCATTAGCAGTTGGAAGCCCCAGCAGATATTATGGATCCGGCGGGTTTCCTTTCATAAACTGAAAACAGGTAATCTGGGTGGGTTGTCTTTCAGTGAGGGTACTGCTGTGGGCTCCCTCCTAAAATCCACCAACCTTAAAACGTTCAGAAATTCTTCTAGGTTTTGCCCATTTCAGATGAGGGAAGAGGAAGGAGATTTGTAATCCGGAAGCCTTCCAGTTCTAATGAAAACAGAGAACTTCAGATTTCAAGTCTCATGTATCCTTTTCTTGAAATCTGCCAAAAATATTTACAGGTACTTGGTGACCAAATGAAGCATTTTGATTTGGAGTAATATGTTTCATACGAAGTCAGGTTAAAAAAAAAAAAAAGTATTTAAAAATACTTGGGGGAACCAGAGCTGTTGCTTATCTAGCTCACTATGAGACTCCAGAGGAAAGATCTGATTTGCTTAGAGTGCAAAGACAACGTGCACAAACACAGAGAAACAAATGGCAAGAAAGGTTGGTTGGTTTGTTTTCCCCCTCCTGCTGATCTTTGGGGCCCCTATGTAAGAACTGTGACATTCTTCCATGGTTCATCCTCATGAGGCTTGGTTCCTCACTGCCAGGGTAATCACGGAATCACACTGGTTGTCCTTAGCTTATATAGCAAGCAAGGGAAAAATATGGGCATTTTCCCACCTTTTCTAAATACAAATTATTAATTCAAAGAGAGTGGTGTAACTGTTTCCTGATATTAGGTATATTTAGGTGTGCTCTCACCTAAATGCTAGCTAGCAGGCCTTTTTCGGCTGCACTTGTGAAAGAAAAACAATTTTCAATAGAATTGTATTTGTTGCATGCTGATTAAACTAAATAGTAGAGTTTATGTGGAAAATAAGGTAGAAAATTACATGTGTGACTTACTGATTTAAACTTCTGTGTATCTTAGAAAAATATCACCAGATTAAATGGTGGCTGTGATTAAATATAATTCATAACACAGGTAAGAGGATGACGTTGCTTGTAATGAAAGAAGAACTTTTCACGTTCTACCAAACTTGGGTTGCAAGAGAGCAAATAAGATACACATACAATGCAAGACCCAAATCTGTGACAGAACAAGTTGTAAGTCTGTATATTCTATTACCCCAACGTGTGATATTTGTAAGATAGTAAGAGCTTCAAATCTTGGTTAAAGTCAGAAGAAAAAAGTGGACTCTGCTTCTGCTCAGCCCCTAAGACAAAATTAGAGCAATTTGGGTGGTTGGATAGCCCAGATTCAGAAATGTGCCTAATTTTTGGCCCAAATCATAGCACTCTTCTGGTTTGGGACATGTATAGCAATCAGATTCCTCAGTAATTATGGTTCCCATCAAGGGAACCTGTTCTACTCCATTCCTCCTCTCTGCCTAGCAATGTGTAGCAGGTTACCAAGCCTGGTAGCTTGTAGTGGTAGTGGTTTCATCAGCATGCTGCTGATATGCAGCCCTATCAGCTGATATGACCCTGACCTCACAGATACTGTGACCTTGTGCCTAGACATCAGGCATCTTTTGGTGGCTGAAACTCAGATTAAGATGGTGACAATGCTGGGAGCTGGGGAAACTGCTTTACATTTGCAGCCATGAATGAGGACAAACTGGATTAGGGGTAATGGCATAGGAGAGAGGATTGGTTGGAATGATGGCAGTGAACTGGATGTTTGCTGCCTTTAGCCTTTCCAGTTCTGTGCATTTACTTTGCATGTCTTGATCTCCCATCGTGATACAGGGTTTGCAGTGAGTCTGAGTGCTGGTGGAGAGCAGGCATGGAGCTGTACTGAAGATTTACTGTGGAATAATAAGGGAGGGCTTTGGGCCTTTTTATCATCTTATTATGGTCAGCCATTACTGAGGGAAGTGGGCAGAGCTTCAGTGTTCTCCATTGGAATTGCTTGGCAACAGCTGGAGCTTCAGTAGGCTTGGAGCTTCTGTAAATTGTGCTGCGATGCTCAAGTGATTCATTTCGGTCTTCAGAAAGTGCTCACTCATCTTTGAGGCAATAAACCCAACTCCAGAATCTGATAAATCTATTTGCAAACCCTTAAATCTGATAATCTACCTTGGCTGATAATCCCAAGTGCCTGAAAGGAGACAAGGCTACCATCTGTCGGCAGCGTTTGTCCATCTGTAGGGTGACCAGTGCTACAGAGCACTACCCTGTTGTCCTGCAGAGCTTCACTCTGGTATGTGTGTGTGGCCTGGGAGCATGTGAGCATTTCCTTTGAGAGGCATTGGACTTAGTGACTTCAGCATCCTGTACCAACCCAATGCCTTTCTTCTCCCATGATAGCACTGGTATAGCATCGCAAGGAGCAGAGACCCAGCTCTTTCCATCCACCTCTGTAAGAGCTGTTCCTAAGAAATTTCTCTTAATTAAACAAGATAAAGAAGGCAAGAGAGGCAGAGGGATTGAAAGTAGGGCTGAGGAGCTGTTTATGTGGAGTCTCTCCGTGGGGGGATATTCTTCAGTTTGTCTCAGCATTCCGAGAGTCCTTTAAGTGAGAGGCTGTGGTTTACAGAGTCAACAGATTTAAGCAGGCTACGAATATTAATTATTAATTGCTCTTGGAGAGTGCTATACATTAGATTGGTGAAGTAGTTAACAGCTATGCCTTCTGCTCCCCACAGGCGCGCTCTTGCTGTCAGATTTCTCTCCCCAGCTAAGACCCTGGTGCTAGAATTAGGCCAGAAACTATTTTCCAGTCGAGTGGCTTTTAATGGGCTCTCCAGGATTCTTCTTTGCATCCTGTGAGTGACGAGATATGTGGAGAGGAGAGATGGTGGGATTGATTCGTACCGTAAGAAGTATGAGAGATTTAACTAAGTGGGGATCGGTGCTGCTAGAGCAGCAGGAAGCCCTGTGGCAGTTGCATTTTTGCACTCCAGAAGCATCTGTTAATTATCCACAGCACTGGGCAGTGCTCTGGAGGAGCCCACCTGCAGGAGTCCACAGAGAAATGGTATTTCTGCTGAAAGGCAAGACTGGGGTCTTTTGAGTTCTTCTCCATCAGGGACCCTGGGCAGTCTGATCTGGTTTTTGGTGGCCCTGCCCATGGAAGGTGGGTTGAAACTAGATGGCCCTTAAGGTTCCTTCCAACCCAAGCCATTGTGAGATTCTATGACATTGGATGGTGGACTGTGAGTGTACTCTGGGAGCCCTGGTGGGCTCATAGGGCTGGGAATTCCTTGACCTCCTCAGCTCTGGCAGAGTGAATGAAGCATAATGAGCATGATGGTTTGGGGATGGTTGTTTTGGGTCTCATAAAATCCTTACATTTGGGGGACCTCTGGAGGCCATCTAGTCCATCTAGTTTCATCTCCCTGCTGATATTGAGGAGGTGTCGTGGTGTGTCCCTTACTGCTTTTAAAGCCAGCTCTCCCTTCCTTCCTGCATCTCTTCTCCAGCCAGACACTGCAGAGCGGTGGCTTGCATGAAGCCAGAGGCTGAGCTCTATGGGCTGGAGCCTCACAGGGAGTCCTCCAAGTGAAGGACTGCAAGGGAGATCCACTCACACTAAACTAACTCCTGAGATGAGTCCTGGTGTGGCAGTTTGGGCATGAAGCACCATCCTCATTCTGGAAATCACTCCAGCAGCAATAATAAGGGTAGCGAGAGTGGTTTGGGAGCTCCTTCTGCAAGGAGGAGTATTGTGATCTGCTAGCAGCTGACTTGTTTCTGAACACCTAGCACATTTTATTCGTGCACTGTATTAAATAGCCTATAGAATTTAATTCCTCCGTGGAGAAAAAAAAAAACAGAAAACAAAAAACAAAACAACCTCCCCACCCCCAAAGCGCTGTGATTTTGTAATTGGACTGTGACAAAGCTGAATTTTGCCTGATTTGGGGGGGTGGGGGGGGGCTGTTGTTTTTAATTTCTGCATCACAACAGGGACATGCCACGATCCTATGTCTAGGCAGACAGTTTGGCATGGAAAGTCACAGCTGGATGCTTCCAGCTCCCCCAAGCAGGGGCTTTTTGAGAGAAAATGCTGACAGATCCGTAGCAATAGCGGGCAGGACTCTTCATAATTTATTTTTAATGCCACGCTGTCTTTAACTGTGCAATTTCCTCCGGGGTGTTTGCTTTGAGATTGCGAGATAATTACATCTCAGAAACCAGGCTAATTACAGTTAACAGCCTGAAAAGCGAAGGCCCCCATTTCCCGCCCCCCTGCCCAAGTTTTTCCACCAGCTTTCCCCTTGCTTGCCCGCCCAGATCGAGGCAGCATGGCCGAGGAAGTGGCTTTGGCAGCCCGCTGGGATGCTCGCTTCCCGTCCTCGCCCCAGCGAGGTGATGGCCCCATTGATTTGTGTTGGGTGGAGATGTGGCTGCCCCAGCTGGACCGTGACGGAGGGCTCGATGGTGGGAAGGTCAGCGCTGGTGCGGAGGGAGGAGAAGCTGGCGCTGGTGGGGATGGCCAGGAGGGGTTGGCGGTGTGGTTAGGGGGTCAGTGATCCCAGCTGATAAAGGAGAAGGATGTTTCCTTCTGCCAGGTGGGAAAAAGTCCTGAACTTTCCATGCCTCACCCTACAGCATCCAGTTCCAGCACCACATTCAGTTAGCTGGGCTGTGTGTCTTCTTCCCCCATCTTTCATACCTGCCTCAGACCCGTTATCACCTGCAATTACTTGTGGGTACACAATAAAAGAACCACACACCTGATAAGTCTGTGGGCTTGGAGCCATGCTTGTAGCAGAAGCCCAGGGGCAGTAGGTGGTGGTGCTGGGTGCATGTGGTGGTCCTGGGATGGAGCTTCTGCTCACCATGCTCAGGATGAACTCACCGTGCTACAGCCAGCAGCTCCCATACACCAGCTGCAATGCTCAGCTCTTTTGGAAATAACTCTGAAAAGCTTGAAAGGCTCAGCCTTGCTCTATCACAATGTGATTGCCAGGCTCCTTGGAGAATGAGAAA